CGAACAAAAGTTAAATGTAGATTTTGTGGAGAAATGTTTTCAAATAGTACAACACTAAATAAACATCGGTAAATATTTTAATATATTTCCTAACTAAGATTAAGTGTGTTAAAAACTTAGCTAAGTGAAGTTGGGGATAAAACTTTTAGGGAACCTTCGTTTAAATGAATAGCTTTGCTCGTACATAGTCTGTGAAAAGACAACTAATAGTTTTTTTCGATAGCCATCAAAATGAACTGCATAGCTGAGATAAAAGTGTTCTTACAAGTACATTTCAGTTCTTATGGCACAAACCATTTGGTTGCAATAGACAAAATTTTAAGGCATTTTTTATATTTCATTAAGACCTTCTCATAAATCGCTCGTTACTCAAGTATATTCAAATAGCAAAAAACTTTCAGGATATGTTGAATTTGTCATGGAGAGACTAAGACAAAATTTTCAGTCCTGTAGCGTTATGATTTGGGGAGATATTCAATTAACAAGAGTCAAAAAAATAACTTATTTGGCAACCTAAAATTCTCTGTAGGCTTTCATTCCATAGCATTAGTTCTTTTGTGTGTGAAAGAGCATGTCAGACTCTTTTTATATTCTTCCTTCATAAGAGAACAGCAGGGATGAAAAGTTTATTTGAAAAAACTCGCAAAAACTGATGCTTTAATTATCAGAGTACTTTTTTACATAATAGTAACGAATCTTAATTCAAAAAACGAGTTATGTCATGCTGTTCATCTTGACCTATTCTTTTAGACAGAAAAAGAAGGCCATTGGCTACAATGAAGCTTCTTCTAGGATTCTAGAATGTCCAATCAAAAGGAAAGATACAAAAATAAAAAACGAGAAAGATTTTCCACTTTATTTGAAAAAAAAACGAGTTGCAAAGTACAAATAAAACTATTCACAAAATAAAAATTTACTTACATTTTTATCCTCTCACTTTCTCTTCAAGTCTTTTGATGTCAACAAAATAAAACTCTTTTGTTTTAAGACATTTCTGTAGTGGCATAATATCATCATCTTCATCATTGCATCCATCAATATTCCTCAATAAGGAACAGATCAATAATCGTTTCTGGAATTCAAATTTACCATTGTATCTTCTTCCTTATCTACCACGTTTAACTTCTACAGATTTATTTATTAATGGAAGATTATCTTCATTTTTATTTCCATTATCATTAAATACAATTGAACAGGAGACAACAATAAATACGAATGATGATAGTATTCCACTTGATTTAAGTGTTAAAAAATCTCCTTCATCTCGAGAACGTTCTTCATCATCATCATCAAGTTCATCTTCACTTTCATGTGAAATAATAAGTTCTCATTTACTATTATCAAATGATCAACAAAAACAAAATACATCATTATCAAACAAAAAAAAAGATAAACAACAATTAATAACACCAATAAATCATTCGAATTTATTTCATAGTCAACATCATCATTTATCAATAGATAAATCATATTATTTCAATACTCATTTATCAAATAAATATAAATATATATGTTCTTATTGTGGAAAAGATTTTCCTCGTTCAGCAAATTTAACTCGACATTTACGAACACATACAGGCGAACAAGTAAATTATCATTCCTTTTCTATAAGTGCTTTTTACCTATCTCAATAATCAGTACTAACATCATTCTGAGTATTTTTAAGACATTGATCAGAGCTATCCAATGAACTCATAGAATTAAGAACCTGTTAGTGCAGTCTCTACGAGATTAAAATATAATACACGATGTAGTGACATGTTACTATTCCCAGGAAGATTGTTTTACTCTATCTATCTTGGGACACATTTATTCATCGTCCTTTTCCTTAATCCTCAAGACATTCATTAAGGAAGTAGTTCATATATTATAAAAAGACATTATTGGTATACGGTTTGTGACAGGAGAGAGGTGAGACGTTACTAAGAATATATGTCACATCTGTAGGAGTTCAAAGTTCTGTTCTTATACTTCAATACTCCTAATAAATCCTGTTTCAAAAAATATTCCTCTATCATTCAGCTCTCGATCTGCTAGATAAAAGAGTTTTTTATTGAGTCAATATAGGTGTTCAATGCACTAGCAGCGTCTATCTTTGATAGAATTTGATATGCGAAATTCGTAGAGATGTATTCAAAAACCAATTTTGGTTTCTTTCTTTTTTTAATTATAATTTCGAATAATATTTTGTTTCCATTTGCCAATAGTTTAGCATTGGAAGTAATTGAAAAAAAACAAATCTATTTCTTATAGATTTCGTTGCAATAGATAGAATATTGACTCTTTAGGGAAAAACTTATTCTAATTTATTTTCACATAAACAATTATTCAAGATACTATATTTTTCTTAACAACAAATATCATGGTACTCATTGTATCCTGAAAGTTTAAATTCGATCGGATGATTCTCATTTAAGATAAAACATTTGTAAGAAACACGATTTCTTTCCAAAATAGGCCTTGTTTTTGATCTATCTCATATCATAGGAAAACTTCATCCGTTCCTGTTGAAACTTTTAGGACATAATAAGTACAATGATACTTGTTATTGAGGGAAATGTTACACGAAAACTCCTTATCGGGACTTCGTCCGTAATATACTCAAAACTAAGTAAATGATCATAAATCGAGCAGAGAAGTCTACAGGCACGAAGTCGTTTAAAATACTTATATAAACTAGGAGTCCTAATTATGAACAAAATACAAGCTCTAGGATTGGGTATTAGTTGAAAATATCTCTCCACTATTTAATTCTCTTAAGGTTAAGATGATTAACTTTTTCTAATAGTTTTGAAAATTTAAAGTCAAATCAGTGGATCAATATGACATTAAATGTTCAGAATAAAATGTGATCTAAACCACTCGATATGCTCAAAAGTTCAATAATAGTTGAGTGTGATAGCTTCTTTTTATCAGAGACACGTACGTATTTCTATTATAATTTTATTCATAGATGATACTTATTTTAAGTAAATAATCTGATAATTTAAAATGTGTAGTGAACAAAAATAGAGTTCCACTAGTATTATGGAATAAACATGAAGAATCACTAGAAAATCAAATTTTGAGTGATGAAAATTAAATTGAGCAATGGAAACTAAAACTTCGATATGTCTTTCCTTGTCGAGTAGTCAACATTTCGATAGTTTTCGAGAATTTCACATTCAATAGTTACTAAAGTGTCCAGCCTATCAGGTTCGCACCTTACTTGATTTTAAAAAAATTTTTTTTCTAGCCTTATGGTTGCAAATATTGTGAACGATCTTTTTCCATATCATCGAATCTTCAACGTCATATACGTAATATTCATAATCGTGACAGATGAGTTTCATGTCATTTATGTAATGGTAACTTTGTTCAACTAACTAATCTTAAACGTCATTCAATTCAAAATGAACATGGTTAACAATGATTTTAAAATTAATTTAAGCTTATATTTTATTCTATATATTTATTATAGTCGTAATCAATGATATTGTTTTAATATTAGAAAATTTTCCACTAGAGATTTACAATGAAAAAGTAATAAATTGAATTATTTCCAGTTAAGATCAATAGCACGAATATGAATAAATTCATTTAATCGATATTCTCTCAAAGCACTTTATTTGTCATCTGTAATTATAGAAAAAGTATTTTTAAATAAAAAAAAAAGCATAATTAAACGAATTTCGTTTTGCTTAAAATTTGCTATCATATCCAATCAAATTACCTCAATGGTTGACACGAAAGTTTCTCCACTAACGAGGGAACATTTTCAGGTGCTAAAAAGCTTTTCAACCGGGGATGTGATAACTAGATAGGGCATAGCTAGCAGTGATACACCCTAAGTTAGTTCGCACCCAAGTTGAGATTTGGCTGAGATATCGACTTTTTACTAGAATTTGCCTATGGGACCCCATCTTTCCCATGAAAACAAAGTTTTGAATTTTGAGGTGAGACTTTGCCCATATCAAGGCCTCCGCTAGGGTAGTTCATCCACAAAGTTTCAGAATTTTCGGGCTAAGCATTCCCGAGATTTGAGTCTGTTAGTATAAACACAGTTTTTTACGGATATTGCTGTATGCATGGATATTTTGAAAACATTATATCTCGGGAATGCTTAGCTTGAAAATTCTGAAACTTTGTGGATGAACTACCCTAGCCGAGGCCTTGATATGGGCAAAGTCTCACCTCAAAATTCAAAACTTTGATTTCATGGGAAAGATGGGGTCCCATAGGCAAATTCTAGTAAAAAGTCGATATCTCAGCCAAATCTCAACTTGGGTGCGAACTAACTTAGGGTGTATCACTGCTAGCTATGCCCTATCTAGTTATCACATCCCCGGTTGAAAAGCTTTTTAGCACCTGAAAATGTTCCCTCGTAAGTGTTTATTCTTTTTCTAGTCACAAGAGTAGGTATATGTTTGAACGTAGTCAGCATATTATCGAAAAGGTAATCCGACACAAATAGCTGTTAATGGCTTGAGTAGAGTCATTCCATGCCTGTTGATACTGAGATTTGCACATAGCACATTGTAAATACATGTCGAACAACGTTGTCACTCAACTATGATGGCATATAGGTATGTGACACATATGACCTAGTTCTACATAAACAAGTAAGAATGAAAAATGCCTGAGATTCGCTGAGATACTTTATTCATCATTAAAATGGCCACGGTTAAATTTTAGTTCTGTGATGCCTGCTTATGACATGTCAGAAATTTCACGAGTTCCGAGCGAAATAGAAGTTCTTTCATCTGCTGTAGTCTCCTTTCAAACCGTAAATGTTTATCAAAATAAAAATTTAACTTGAACCTCAATCACTGAATTTTATAATGATCTGAAATAAACCATTATTGCTTGAATTTGATTGTGCATTCAGTTCTTTCGAAGAAATATTCTAAACGTTTTAAATTGCAAGATCACTTTATTTCATAAACTATATTGTAAACTACAAGATGGTTAATTTTTTCTTTCATTTACAGAAAATCAATGTTCAAAATGACGAATAGTTTTTATTTCTGTTCAATATTAATCATTGTATTTGTACGCAAAATAGTATTTATATGAATTGTAGACTCATCTGGTTTTGGTTTTCTAAAGAAGCTTTGAAATTGTCGACGAAAACCACTATTTGAGATTAGTGATACATAAAAACTAGTTGCAAAAAATGTGTACGACACTAAATGAATGAATTCAACGATGACTTTTTCTATAGCAAGTTGTAAAGGTGACTTTGGCCAATATTGAGTTATATTTGTGTAAATAAGTTCAGCCGCATATGGTGTATATGTTGTTATAGCAATGATTGATTGTAATATAAGCATGAATGTAAGTCGAGAATCAATCTGTTGAAGAACTGATCGTTTTGTAACAGTTATCGGAGCCACATTATTATCAGGGACAATGCGCCGTTGAATAACATCTCGGACACTTTTTATTAATAAATAAGCAAGTATAACCATGATTATTGGTGTACATATTGCTGTAAAAACAACTTCAATATAATTATCAAAATAAGCATAGAAGCCTGTCAAAGGACCACATTTTCCATTGCTAGTACTATATAGTATAAGTCGATGACCAATAAATAATAGCCAAAAGAGTACACATGTAATACTCATGATGTAAGCTAATCTTACACGATTGCTCCATTGACGATATGCTTAAATGAGAAGAATAAAATGTAATACCTTGTTTCTCTCAGCAATGAAAAGTATAAGTTAATTATTTTCATTAATTAGTAGAAGAAATGATTCAAACACAAGCCTATTTATAAATTTATAGCTAGAAGAACAAAGATTACTTTTCTGTAAGGTTCTATTCTGAGAAAAGCAGGCAAGAGAAAGCTCAACTACTTTACATTCACTGAAAAAGAAAATATGAAATATTTAACAAATATTCCGCGTCTAAAAATATGAATAAGTCATGAGTTTCGGTAATATACGTTATTTTAAAAGTGTTTTCCAAGGAAGGTGACTGACTTCTTATAAGGGGTGCATACAAGCAGAAAAATAATTTTTTGTTTAGCGAAACAGTTTTTATGTAAACCCCTTCTAAGTATTTTATGTCAATATGGGTGCATTCCTAGGTGTGAAATGTTGATAATCATGTAACAAATAACGTTATCTAGTATCATCTGTCGTGCTTAAGCTATACAAAAATGTTTATTCAGTGCTGATGCAAGTAAAAAGACAGTCTTTCCAAAATAAAAAAAATCATGGAAATTTTTCGAGAAACGCCGTATTAGAGTCAAATTTCTTCTGAGAGTGTATTAAAATTTAACCTTTGTCAAAAAGTCATATATGCAGTAGATACCAAAATTATTGAACAAGTTATATTTTCAATTTATTTTCTACTGCTGTAAGCGCTGGAGAGAATCCAGAGAGGTAATAATTGGTAATTACAAAATGACGAGAAAAAGCTACACAAGTCTCATGTATATCAGCTTCTATAATTTAATCGATTGTCTTCATGAATCATTACCAATATCTAGTTTTACTATTCAGATTTTTAAATTTAATATGGAATATTATAGAGGAAAATGATCTAATATCCAATTAATTAACATTTATTTTCTAGACTTACTATTCGAACGTTGTGCAGATAAAAGTCGATCAATTGTTGCAAATGAAAATAAATTAAATGAAACTTGATGACTCCAGACAGAAACAAATTGTCGAAGTTTGCAGAGAACATCATAACGTGTAGTTATTGGAATTTGAAATCCTTTTTGAAGTACTCTTGTAAGTAATAGAAAATCAAAGTAAATAAAATCCGACATTGCTTCTGATAATAAATAAACTGAATAAGCTCGTTTGCGAAATGTTCGTGAACTAAATACTATCATATTTCCAATAGAACCAAGATTACCTGCTCCCCAAATAAATAAACCAAGCCACATATTCAATTGATAAGGTGCAGCTAAAAGAGCACTACTAACACTGCTTGATGTAGTATTCATCGTTGATAGATTGATTAGAAACGGATACACAATCTTTCAAATGTCTTACTCGATATTGATGAACAAAAAGTTTTTTTTTTTCTATTTATCTTTGCTAGAAAAATAGTTCCTCAATAGAATCTAAGAATTTTTCTTTCAAAATACAGGAATATGTGTCTATTATTTTCCATAATGATAATAACATACATTATTTTATTTTATGACGCTCATCCGTATGTAATTGATGAAGATACGTGGACCATAATTTTCTTTTTTTTGGCAATTTGATGACGTTCAAAATATATTGTTAAAAATGTTTAGCGAAGCATTATATCCAACTAACTAATACATACTTTAAAAATTCTATTTTTTGAAAAAAAAAACGTTCTTTCTATTTCAAGAAAAACGCTTTAGTCATAGTTTGTGTTAGAAGCAGTTACATAATGTTTTTACAAAAGCTGCGATGATGTAGAATGATCTACTTCGTTAGGTTACAGTTCGTACTCTCTAGTATACTCGTCAAAAATTTCCGATGAATCCATTGATCTGTTTAGTTTCTATTGATAATATAATTGCTGCATGTCGTTTACCATTCTTTTAAGATTTTCGAAGCATTTATTGCTACGCAGCTGTTATAAGTTGAAGCGTTCTTGTTAATTCAGAATTCAAGAACAATCAATGTGGGATTAAAATGTGAACCATGATGTAGTTGCTGACGATAATCGCAGGGAGATTGTTTTGAGACACATTTCTTCACCATCATTTTACTTAACCCTGAAGAAATGTAAGAAGGAAGTAGCTCATATAATAGAAGAAGACGTTATTGATATACGTTGTTGTTTAACCGTATATCAACAACGCCTGTTGATAAGTCACTTCTTACATGTCTACCATATCTGTGAGAAGGCTTTGACAGTTTAGATTTGTATGGAAGCTTTTTTCTGACAAAATTCTTTTATTTGAAGTCAATTTCCATTAAGGGAAGTATATCAAGAGAGGAAATAAAATTTCGAATAACATGACATGTTAAGTTTCATGTGATATATCTTTATTTGATGATATACATGTTCCGTCTGTTGTTGTGGCTACAATAAACTTTGTATTATATAGTACTATTTATAACATAACAAGGATGTATAATCAGTTTTGATTTCAACTATAAGAATTTTATAGAAAAAAAAAGAATTTCTTACAAATTCATATAGTCAAAACAATGTTTCATATTTTCTTTAATGCGTAAATGGGACTGCGTGAGAAGGTGTATCTGTAGCCGGTGTATAGGCAGGAGACGACTAAAACAGCTGAAATATTTACAGAATGAGGCATAACTGATACAAGTGTTAGAAGTTTATTTTAATTTTTTCTTCATATGGATGAGATAAGCAAATAAGACTATCACATGTTATTGTTGATATTAGTCAATCAGTTTTACTTATCTTTATGTAAAAAAATACAAATGTAGCGTTTCAAAGACGATTTTTAGTTCTCATCTAACAAAAAAAAAATACGAAAATATCAAACGAACTTTATAAATGATGCTATATGGGTACATAATGAGCGAAGAAAAAAACTTTCAATAATTTTCTACCACTGGCTAATAAATTAGGTCAATCAAGCGAACTGAAGCGAAGACATTATAATTTTTACCGTAGCGCTATTCACGGTTCACCTTGCATTGAACAATACAATGTGCTAAATATCATATTTAAAAAAAAATCTCTTGTGGCGTTCTGTTGAAAATTTTCGGTATATGTCAAACAAAAAACATTTTTTATTAAATTCATACGAACAGAAAAACTATGATAAAAGAAGTATCAATCCGTATACTGAGTATAATTTGTTCTTTCGAATCACGTAGAAAAACAAAAACTTCAGCTTACGGCAGGTACACAACAATAAATGGTTGAATAATTTCAAACGGATACAAAACGGCAGGCTGCAATTGTATCGTGAATAAAAACTAAACAGATTAATGGATCAGCCTGGAAATTTCTTATGAGTACACTAGCGACTATGAACTGTAGTCTGACGAAAACTAAATCATTCTAGTTCATCAAGTTTTTGAGACATACACAAAATATCATGAAATTATCTACTGGTCGGAGAATTTTGATAGTCATTGTTTGTATGAAACCATGAACTGTTGTACATATTTAAGTATTTTGATTCCTTTACCTATGAGAATCATTGAAATTTTCACTAATGATGTCGATAGAAAACATCGCCTTGTTTGCTTAATATTAAAATAATTTTAAATCGTAGGATAAATCCAGGCTAGCTTCCATTATTTTTGCTTTTTTGAGTTTGTATAGCTGCTTATATTTTTGCATTTATGTAATAGACATCGCTAACACCGGAGTCAACTGCTAGTTAGATTATATTATTAATAGATTCCAATTAATTTGACTATAGTGACACAGATTCGGTTCTTTGTAGTGTTTAAATAAACAAAAGAGAAGCATAGTTTCATATCACTATAATTGATTAGTTCATCATTTTCTTTTGTCTTATATTAGGTTCATTATGTTATTTATCTGATTTCGTTTGTTAAAAACAAACTATTTGAATTTACTTAATTGTTACACAAAGAATATTAAATTTAATCTATATTTAAGGTTAAGACTTTACTATATAAGAGACTTCAATACTTCTTTCAGTTAAATTTAAAGCAAGATTCATATTAGAAAATTTCTTGACAAATTCTGCATAACTATAAAATTATGATGAAACTATTCTGATGCATAATTTTGTTTTTAAAGAAAAAAACTAACTGTTCATCAAAATGAAATTCAAAATTAATAATCTATGAAGCATTAAAGTTTTTACAATCATTTGACAAAACTTATATTTAGATTTATAAGTAATTGAAGTATATTGTTTTCTTCAGACATCGTTAATGGACATGTTTTATTGTCTAATGTATTTTAGCTTTGTATTAAAAAAATTTCTCAATTCATTATCCAGGTAAAGAAAGATATATCATGCATAGGTTTCTACTTATTGTTCCTTCAGACTTATGTTGATTATATATGCATACGTAATTATTTTCTTCTGAGAAATAAGAAAAGAATTGTCTTATAATTATATATTTTTATTTTAATGACGTTCGTCTTTCACTTGATTACAACAAATTAATAAAGCATGAATATATTCATTAACTTCTGCAAGCCAATTGAAATCCCTTGTGAAAGACATCATGACATTTTTTTTTCAAGACACTTTTTTCAAAAGGCATATCTATGAAGAATATTTTCATTTGATGTAAATTGATACATGAACAGAATCCAGTCTTCTTCATTCAATACGAATTAATTATTAGCAAGCTTGTTAGAGCTCTTTTTTTTTAGCCTTATTACACTAATAGAAAGCAAATCAAATGAATAAGTCTCTGGCAAATTATAGTTGTTTTTCAAGATAGTCGCGATCGGTAGAGAAGCGATCCTTCTTATTGATTTCTAGATTTTGAACAGAATTGTTTAATATCGCTCTACTTTTTGTACTTTTCTAACTAGTGATTTAATCGGCAATTAAACTTGTTGTATGTATCCATATATCTACAGCAGATTTCACACTATTATATATCTCAATACGTTTAAAAACACTGATATTGATAAAGTTCTAACTTGATTCCTGCTTCCAAACTCCTACCATTTTTCAGGCATACCTCATTTACTTAGTTTAAAAATGGATACCTAGAATAAAGTAATTTTGTCACATATGATTCTATTCAGTACGTAGTGGTATATCAAAATGGTACTAATAGATAGATAGATAGAACACTATCGAATCTAAATGAAAATTTATAGCTTAGTTTTTTTCGTCGTTTTTATTAAAAAATAGGGTTTGGAAAAATGTTTAATATCAATAGTTTACACAGAAGGTGTACCACGAAGTAATAATTCATGTTGTGAACGTCTTTTTAAACGATCTTTTGCTTTGTCAACATATATTTGTAAATATTCGGAATTAAGTTTAAGAGGTTTTTTACAAATTAAAATTTGTTGAACATCATTCTCTTTTGATACTTGTCGCCATGTTTCTAAATTTAATTGTAAATCATGTTGCCATGGAAATGTTGGCATAGTTTTTATTGTAAGTTTAGAATTATGATCCAGAGAATCCATTTGAAGTACTTTGGATAATACATCAAACTAGAAAAAAAAAGAAATATTGAATTTAAGTTGAATTAATAATAAAATCTTATGCATGTAAAATATGATCATGATTTTGGGAAAATTCTGCACTCGTCTTTGATTATACTGGAACATACCTTTGTTCAAAAGCTCTCTTACAACACAACATTCTCAACTGTCCAATTGCTATTTGCTGGAGACTATTGCCATTCAATTGATCTTGCTTGACGAATTATGGGTGCTTTAATCGAGCGTAGAATCGCTGGAGACTTGGATGATCGAATATTACGAGCTGAAACTGTGTTCCTAGATAAGCCTTATAGTCAATAGAAGCAAACGTTTCCTTGCTGAGATATTCATATTTTCAAGAAACTCCTGTTTTGGACTATATTTCGAAAGAGGAACGTTTCTATGACAAGGAAATATCTCCATAAGAATTGTATTTGTCCTAGCTCAACCTTTGGAATTTTTCTAGTACTCATAACATCTATCTATTGGCAAATTTTCATCTCGAAGTTCAATCAATCCGATTTTCGGCGATACTATGAACAAGTAAAATGCCGATAACTCAACAACCAAAGAAAGAAAAATCATATTAAAATAAAATTTTTACTATTCATCAAATGTGAAATAGTGTCAAACAAAATATGATTGGATAGATCGAAATATTCTCTAGTTAGATCAATTAGAATCTTCAATTTATCAGACGAAAGCAATATGATCAATAAGCTAAACATGTCAATTCCTGACATGGTTGAGTGTCCAAAGGTCATTTTTCAAAATAGTTGGATGAGTACAACAATTCCGTCATATATGTTTGACTTTCTTGATGATTAATATTAGCTCAAACGATATATAAAATTTTAGTGAAAAATTTTAACGATTAAA